CCCCTCTGAAAAATATGAGTTCGTCAGTTGGGATGATTATTCCCAGTGGAAAAATAAAAAATGATCGAAACCACCAACCAGCTATCAATCAGCATGAATCACCATTAATCACCAGTAATCCAGGAGGAGTACCCACCCGGCTCCTGGTCTTGCCATTCCCAGTCCGGACCACGCCGAACTCGCAGCCCCACTTCTGGGCCACGGAGAATGTCGTCCTCAACGGAAATGTGAAATAAATTGAAAAAATATGGGTTTTTTTCAACCTCAACCAGATATATGTCATATGTGTTTTTTTTTGCCTTTTCTGGATCCAAACTCCCAAATTGATGCATTTTAGGATTGGCAGTCTTGCGTCTAGGAACTTTGTGTGAATATGTTGAGCCCTTTATGATCAGGGTGTCAAATATTTTGAGCATCCATACCACATATCCAAGCCACACAACACTTTCCAACTTCGCACTTCCCAACAATACAGACACGATTCTTTTGATTTCCTTTGCCAACATCATCTTTCTTTTTGGACGCCAAGAAATGATTTTTGAAAATGGTTTTGTTTCATATGGAAGATACTGCAAAATGTCAAATCTCAATAGAGAAAGTGACTGCATTGATTGCGACTTGGGGGCTTTTTGGGGATCCAAAATTTGAGACAACCTCACAAAATGGATATGGATCAAAATGATCCTTTGAGTATGAAAGTACCAAAAAAAAATCACCAATTGTGGTGTTTTTTTTGGAATTCTCACACGCCGAGAACTTCCAAAAAAACGTCCTCTGATTCATCAAAGACAAGGGGAGGAGGTCCAGGATCATCTCCCACCACTGTCCAAGGACCAGTCGGTGGGCTGCTGGTGGCAGCAGGGTGCTGATACAACCAAGCCGTGGCGCCCTCGCGCTCGGCAATTTTCCACTTCTCTTGGAAGAACATCACCTGGCTACAAAAAACCGGCTACTCATCGATCTCAAAATGGGAATTTCTGGGTGTCTGCAAAAAGAAAAATGGCCATTTCAGTGGGGAAAATGCGGATCAACCACTAGCTTTTATGGGAACCCTATTTTTGGACAAATCTCACAAGTCAAGGGGAGGTTAATCAATAGAGATTGCTCCTAAATCAGCCACTCACCCCAAAAAAAGTTCAAGCTCTCTGTGGCTGGTTACCAGAAAAAAAACTCTCAACACTAAGTTGCAGCTTGGCCATGCTCGAGTTTGTATCTGGGTCTGCCATTTTGCGTATCAACCAGAACGTACCGACCATTGATTGCTTCCCCACCGGCACCAGCCACCACGAAGGAAACCTTGACGTCCGGCGCGTTCCTCCAGGGGATGACCGTGATTTTAGCCGTTTCAAACTGGGGGTCAGCCGTGAAGATATGAACTTTGTGTTTCCGTTTAACATATTTATACAGAAATCACCACAAAAAAATCACCATTTAACATATTTATATGGTGATTTTTTTGTGGTGATTTCTATATAACTAATGGTGGTGATTTAACATTAGCCATATTTCATCATACATCCAAACCATTTGTTTCCATTATAATCCATTAGCTAATATATTATATGTTTCCATTTCTATGGGATATCATAATATATATATATATAATGTTTCCATTTGTTTTGGCCAAACAAAGCTCGGAGAAGTCGGCCAAACCTCACCCTCGCCGGAAGCCATGAGAAAGGCCATCGGATTTTGACACGAATAGAACCAGGAACGCCAAAGGACAAGGAAAAGCACGACTGGTTGGTGGTTGACCTACCCAATGGCGAACATAGGTGATTATATGAAAATTATATGATTATATAATGATTGTCTGGTTGGTGGTTTCAACCTACCCCTCTGAAAAATCATGGACTTCCTCAGTTGGGATGATTATTCCATTCCCAATGGAAAGTCATTCAAAATTCCATGGGTCCAAACCACCAACTAGCTATTGATCAACATGAATCACCATTAATATGAGTCAGTTGGGATGATTATTCCATTCCCAATGGAAAGTCATAATCCATTCATGTTCCAGTCACCACCAACCAGTTATATTCACCATGTTTAATCATTAATAACCATTATTAACCATCATTAACCAACATTATCCCATACTAAACCATGGTTCCAGTCACCAAAAAAAAGAAGCTCAGGGCTGTTTCTGTAACAGTCGTTTCCAACAGTCCTCGTCCCCTCAGGCACAACCATGAGGTCATATTTCCCATCGGCTCCGACGCGGTAGCTGTTCCCGTCACCATGATCCCAGCGCACGTTGACCCAGCCCAAGTCCACTCGCCCTTCAGCCACTGTGATGCCCAACATGCCGGCACCGCCATCCTTGGAGAACCAACGGGCGAACCAACGGCGAACGAACGGATGTCTATTGACTGTACATTGGGAAAATTTCCATGAAAGTGATTTCAAATAACCCTCCAACGGTGGGATGATCTGGGATGATTTATTGGGACCGCATTGATTAACTGTACTCGTGAGCTGCAAAGCTTTTGGGCCACAAAGTCTCACTGTTTTCACAGACTGTGAACCGAATGGGCACCAGCTACCGAACTGAGACCTAAGGGGGAAAAAAATAAATAAAAGGGATGACACACGGAGACACTCCTGCGCAGAAAGTTAGAGTAAAAGCAAAGGAAACCCAAAATGTGTATAGTATGTGAGTATGTAAGTGTGTAAGTATGTAAGTGTGCAAAAAGGTATGTATGCAAATATGTAAGTCTGCAAGAGTATGTAAGTATGCAAGCATGTAAGCATGTAGGCATGTAAGCGTGTACGCATGTAAGCATGTAAGCATGTAAGCATGTAACCATGTAAGCATGTAAGCATAAGCACGTAAGCATCTAAGCATGTAAGCAAATAGGTAAGTAACCAAGCAAGCAAGCAAGCAAGCAAGCAAGCAAGCAAGCAAGCAAGCAAGTGTGTACATAGCAAGTGTATCTCTATCTATCTATCTATCTATCTATCTACATACCTACCTACCTACCTACCTATCTATTTATCTATCTATCTACCTTTCTATCTATCTATCTATCTATCTATCTTGCTATCTATCTATCTATCTATGTACCTATATATCTATCTATATATCTATATATCTATCTATCTATCTATCTATCTATCTATCAGTCTATCTGTTTGTCTACCTATCTGTCTATCTGTCTGTCTGCCTATCTGTCTATCTCTCTATGCGTCTATGAATCTATGCATCTATGCATCTATACATCTATGCATCGATGCATCATTGCATCTATGCATCGATGCATCTATGCATCTATGTATCTATGCATCTATGCATCTATGCATCTATGCATCTATGTATCTATGTATCTATGTATCTATGTACCTCTGTATCTGTGTAGCTGTGTATCTACGTATCTATGCATCTATGCATCTATGTATCTATGCATCTATGCATCTATGCATCTATGTATCTATGCATCTATGCATCTATGCATCTATGTATCTATGCATCTATGCATCTACGTATCTATCCATCTATGCATCTATGCATCTATGCATCTATGCATCTACGTATCTATACATCTATGCATCTATGTATTTATGCATCTATGCATCTATACATCTATGTATCTATGTATCTATGGATCTTTGTATCTATACATCTATACATCTATGCATCTATGTATCTATGTATCTATGCAACAAATCATCTATGTATCTATGTCTCTATGCATCTATGCATCTATGTATCGTTGTATCTACGTATCTATGCATCTATGCATCTATGCATCTATGTATCTATGCATCTATGCATCTATGTATCTGTGTATCTAAGCATCTATGTATCTATGTATCTATGCATCTATGCATCTATGCATCTATGTATCTATGTATCTATGTATCTATGCATTCATGCATCTGTGTATCTATGTATCGTTGCATCCATGCATCTATGTATCTATGCATCTATGCATCTATGCATTCATGTATCTATGCATCTCTGTATCGTTGTGTCTATGTTTCTATGCATCTATCCATCTGTGCATCTATGCATCTATGCATCTATGCATCTATGCATGAATCTATGTATCTATTTATCTATGTATCTATGCATCTTTGCATCTATGTGTCTATCCATCTATGCGTCTATGCATCTATGCATCTATGTATCTACGTATCTATGCATCTATGTATCTATGTATCTATGCATCTATGCATCTATGTATCTTTGCATCTTTGCATCTATGTATCTATGCATCTATGCATCTATGCATCTATGCATCTATGCATCTATGTATCTATGTATCTATGCATCTAATGTATCTATGTATCTATGCATTTATGTATCTATGTATCTATGCATCTATGCATCTATGCATTTATGTATCTATGTATCTATGTATCCATGCATCTATGCATCTACTCATCTATGTATCTATGTATCTATGTATCTATGCATCTATGTATCTATGTATCTATGCATTTATGTATCTATGTATCCATGCATCTATGCATCTATGTATCTGTGCATCTATGTATCTATGTATCTATGTATCTATGTATCTATGCATCTATGCATGTATGCATCTTTGCATCTATCTATCTGTGTATCTATGGATCCATGCATCCATGCATCTATGCATCTATGTATCTATGCATCTATGCATCTATGTATCTATGTATCTATGCGTCTATGTATCTATGTATCGATGCATCTATGCATCTATGTATATTTATATCTATTTATCTATGTGTTTATGTGTTTATGTATCTATGTATCTATGTATCTATGTATCTATGCATCTATGCATCTATGCATCTATGTATCTATGTATCTATGTATCTATGTATCTATACATCTATACATCAATGCATCTATGTATCTATGTATCTATGCATCAATTCATCTATGTATCTATGTCTCTATGCATCTATGCATCTATGTATCGTTGTATCTACGTATCTATGCATCTATGCATCTATGCATCTATGTATCTATGCATCTATGCATCTATGTATCTGTGCATCTATGTATCTATGTATCTATGTATCTATGTATCTATGCATCTATGCATCTATGCATCTATGTATCTATCAGTCTATGCATGTATGTGTCTATGCATCTATGCATCTCTGTATCTATGCATCTATGGATCTGTGGATCTATGTATCTATGCAACTACCCCTCTATGCATCTATGCATCTATGTATCTATGCATCTATGCAACTACCCCTCTATGCATCTATGCATCTATCTATCTATGCATCTATGCATCTATGCATCTATGCATCTATGTATCTATGTATCTATGCATCTAATGTATCTATGTATCTATGCATCTATTTATCTATGTATCTATGTATCTATGTTATCTATTTATCTATGTATCTATGTATCTATGCATCTATGCATCTATGCATCTATGTATCTATGCATCTATGCATCTATGTATCTATTTGTCTATTTATCTATGTGTCTATGTAGCTATGTATCTATGCATCGATGCATCTATGTATCTATGTATCTATGTATCTATGTATCTATGTATCTATGTATCTATGCATCTATGTATCTATGTATCTATGCATCTATGCATCTATGTATCTATGCATCTATGTATCTATGTATCTATGCATCTATGCATCCAGTATCTATGTATCTATGTATACATGTATCTGTGTATCTATGTTATCTATGTATCAATGTATCTATGTATCTATGTATCTATGTATCTATGCATCTATGCATCTATGCATCTATGTATCTATGTATCTATGTATCTATGTATCTATGTATCTATGTATCTATGCCTCTATGCATCTATGCACCTATGTATCTATGCATCTATGTATCTATGTATCTATGCATCTATGCATCTATGCATCTATGTATCTATGTTTGTATGCATCTATGTATCTATGTATCTATGTATCTATGTATCTATGTATCTATGTATCTATGTATCTATGTATCTATGTATCTATGTATCTATGTATCTATGAATCTATGTATCTATGTATCTATGTATTTATGTATCTATGTATCTATGTATCTATGTATCTATGTATCTATGTATTTATGTATTTATGCATCTATGCATCGATGGATCTATGCATCTATGCATCTATGCATCTATGTATCTATGTATCTATGTATCTAGGTATCTACGGATCTATGCATCTATGCATTTACGCATCTATGTATCTATGTTTTTATGCATCTATGTATCTATGTATCTATGTATCTATGTATCTATGTATCTATGTATCTGTGTATCTATGTATCTATGTATCTATGTATTTATGTATCTATGTATCTATGCATCTATGCATCTATGTATCTATGTATCTATTTATCTATGTGTCTATGTAGTTATGCATCTATGTATCTATGCATCTATGTATGTATCTATGTATCTATGTATCTATGTATCTATGCATCTATGTATCTATGCATCTATGCATCTATGCATCTATGTATCTATGCATCTATGCATCTATGTATCTATGCATCTATGCATCTATGCATCTATGCATCTATGTATCTATCAATCTATGCATGTATGCGTCTATGCATCTATGTGTCTATGCATCTATGCATCTATGCATCTATGCATCTATGCATCTATGCATCTATGCATCTATGTATCTATGTATTTATATATCTATGTATCTATGTATCTATGTATCTATGTATCTATGTATCTATGTATCTATGTATTTATGCATCTATGCATCTATGCATCTATGCATCTCTGTATCTATGCATCTATGGCTCTGTGGATCTATGTATCTATGCAACTACCCCTCTATGCATCTATGCATCTATGCATCTATACATCTATGTATCTATGTATTGATGCATCTATGCATCTATGTATCTATGCATCTATACATCTATACATTATACATCTATACATCTATGTATCTATATTGCCCACAAATTCCCCACTCAGTGGATTTCCCAGCGGAAAATGACTCAAAAATCAGCATCGCAAAGCCATGCATCTTGATCGCCCCAGTCCCAATCCAAACCTCTGCGGACGCGAAGGCCCAGCTCTGGGGACCTTAACACATTGGCCGGCAGAAACGTCACTTCCACCAGGGGAAGCATCAGTAGCACCAGACCTCCGCCCTGTGCGCTTTGCATCTCAAATTCGATGCTGGCAGTGTTGTCAGCCTCCACATCTACTGGTTCACCTTCCAGGACCCCATGATGACGCCAACCCAAGATGTGACCAACACCATGGTCTTCATGCCACACCAAAGTTCCAACTCGAAGTTGTGGATGGATGCACCCATTTTGGAGAATGGGTTCGGCCGTAGTTTGAAGGGATCTGAGATCCCTTACCGCACGCATTGCTAAAGAACCCTGTCACGGTTTTTTTTGCGAATGCTTGGTTGGTTGGTTTTGAAGGTTGTTGTAGTGAAGGAATTTCCTCTGCCAGAAACAAATATGGTCCATCCAAACTCGGGTTTAGGTGCATGTTCATTGGAATTTATTCACAATCTCGCATGGGTTTCAGATGTATCCAAACTGCAAATGAACCAAACAGATCAAGCGAACATGCATCGTATTGTCATATGTATGGAATTTCCCGCCCAAATGAAATCAACAATTCGTAAACTGACATATATTTTTTTCGCTCCGCACCATGACGAGTCTGCCAAAAGGAAGAACAACAGTCGCCAAGAAATATTGTTTCCACGACCAATTCTTGTCAACAGGGTGTTCCGGGCGTCACGTTCCAACACTCGCATGTTTGATAGTTTTTTTTGTTTTGGCACGAAAAGTTGGAGGAAAATCAACCTGCACCGTTTTCTGGATCATTTACAAACTATTTGCTGCAAACACGACTAGTATTTGCACGCGATGTGCCTTTAACCTTTCATGTTCAATGTAAATGTGTCCAAATTTGATACCCACAAACTAAACAATGGACAACTGAAACAACATGCCGTGAAAACACATTGAACCCTTAAAAAAATGCAAAAGAAAACATTGCAACGCCAACGGCACAATACCATATCAGGAAACATTTTGTTAATAGCAGTGGAAATTTACATGCACATGATGGTTGCAGTCAAAACAATAAACCGTATTCGGGTTGTCGGCCGCTGAGATGCCAACACACGGTGACCTTCGAACCTTGCATTCAGGCCCAAGCACCGTGGGGCAGAGTTGCGCAACGGGACCAAGCAGTTGTTCTGCACTTGGCGCTTAAAAAATGAATAATACTCGACCAGGTTGGGGGCAGAATTTTCAAAAATGTAAGATCCAGCCTTTGTTTGCTTGATCTCATCTCAACGCAGTGCTGTGGAAAATGCATGAAAATGCAACATTTCAAACAACAATGACCATGTTCAGTCAACTCAAAACCCCAAGCGGCGATGCCTCCTTTTATTTCCTCATTAGCAAAACGTCACGCAAACACAGGCACACAGATATGATTTCTGACATGCCTTCTGGCAAGTGATTAAGGGAGTCTATGTAAAAAGGTACATACATGTATAAGTATATATACTCGCCGCGCTATGTCGGGTTACGTCGTCGCATGGGAAATTTTGAATCCTCATAAATTGTTTGAGGAACCCTACCCACCCACACCTTGAAAAAAAAACAGTTGCAGATATGTATATACTTGACATCAGGAAAAGTTTGATGCAAGACAGCAACTGACGTTTTCGTGTTATACACGGTGTGATGTTCCACAGATTATTAAAGAAAGTTGACACATAAATAAATTCGAATGAGTTTGTGTGAACTCAGAGGTTTGTGTCACCTTGTTGTTTAAAGAAAAAACACAACAGAAGATAATACAGACGATAAGAATCTTATCGTCTGTATTTGTTGGTTTCAGATAGACCCTAGATTTGGTGCCAGTAGTTCGCGTACTTTTTTGTCAGTCAAATGTTTGACTTACAAAAATTTGCTTGCTTTGGAAATAAGGCTTTCATCTTCTGCGAAGAGTTTCAGCTTATTTCCTCATTAGCAAAACGTCACGCAAACACAGGCACACAGATATGATTTCTGACATGCCTTCTGGCAAGTGATTAAGGGAGTCTATGTAAAAAGGTACATACATGTATAAGTATATATACTCGCCGCGCTATGTCGGGTTACGTCGTCGCATCGCCAAAAAACGAAAACAGAAGAAACTCCGACATGTGAACATGCACAGCATTCTCATGACAAGACATCACTGCTGCAACAAACTGAACAAGTTTGAGTGATTGAACATGTGGCTGCTTCCAAATGATTCCAGTCAGCGACAACTTTTTTCGTCGAGGGCAATGGGGAAAAGTCTCAAGATTGTACGCTGGAGACCTGTTGTTTCAGGTAAGTTTCTCCAGTACACCCGAAGCCAGCCCCGATTTGTCCAAAGTGTACTGGAAGTTGGATCCTTGTTCTTTTGCAATTTCTCAAGAGAGGACTGCTAAAGTCAAGACGGGAAGGTCCATCGGAAGGATTGCTATGGCTTGGAACTCTTCCGAACCAAGACAGCACTCTCAAGTTACACTCAAGTTCAACAAATTTTTTGGTGAAAAGTTTAGCCATATTGGTTGCTCCAACACCTTGGATATACGCCGCTCGTGCCGCGTCGTTGTCCAGAAAGAAAACAACTGGTGCTCCTGTAATGTAAGGTCCCCAAACTTGGGCGGCAATCAGTGGAGGTAACACTTCCAATTCATATATAGGGTGTTCTGATTCGGCAAGAAGTTCTGTCGTGAGGCTCTCATCGAGGGCTTCTCCAAAACATTCAGTTACAACCCCGCAAGGGCTGATCAAGACTCCACCCACGGTGGATGGATGCACTGCTTTTGGTTCGTATGCTCCATCTGTGAAAATTATCCATGTGCTGCACAAGGATTTGCTTATCACCAAAGGCCGGGTGCTGACCAGCATGCCTCGTAGCTGGCCTAATGCTTCAAGCACGCTAGGTTCAAATTTCAGAAAGCTTTTGCTGGAGTGACAAGCGAGGGAGAGAGTTCTGACTGCATGATTCATCATTCTTCCAAAGATAAATGCATTAAACCAAACAAGCCGACCATGCAAACGTTCAAGCTCTTTGGGAGATGTACCACCTCGTCCAAGCATCGCCTCGACAGTTGCAACAAGTTCAGATCGTCGGCTTTCAGTGTGCTGCAGGAAAAAACTCCCGGAGCGTAGATTTTCGAGATCAAACTCTAAACCTAAAGTCTTGAACTTGGTCTGGAAAGGAGGTGCCTTATCTCCTTCTGTCGCAAAGTCAATACCCAAAATCCGAAAAAGCGATTCAATGTAAAAGGTCACATTGTCCTCTTCATACTCACAACAGATGGCCGTATAGTCATCAAAGAAAGCTGACCAAACCAGATCCAGGCCATGAATTCCAATGTATGCCAGTGCATTGGACACTCTGAGAAAGCTGGTGACACTGCCCGTGGCACCAAAGGGCAAGGCATTTACGCCGAACAAACCATGACTCCCTTTGGGGTTTCGCACACAGATCTGGAGAAAATGGCTGTGCCAATCGTCCACCCCAAATTGCTTGTAGGCTGAGCGTAAATCGAATGTGCGACCTTTTATTCGCGGGAGCGTCCCTACCACATGATCGTCAAGGAGAGTGGCAAGATAAGCACATAGTTCATCAACAGCTTGAACACGCAGTCGTTCACGCATGCCATATGTATGGTTTACTCGGCTGATGCTGAAATCATCAATCATTCTCACTTTAGTTTTTTGCTGCAAGCCAAAACGTTTTGCAACAGAGCGTCCTTTTGAGGATTCTGCAGGGCTCAGCCAACCTTTACCAACTTCTTCCCAAGTTTCCATCCAGACTTGCTCAGTGGTTTGGTCCACTGGAGACGCATCTATTGACCTGATGATGCGAGCGTTTATGCCCGGTGCCATCTTTGCAAGTTGCTCCACTGTAAGTTGAGGTCTGCGAACGTCGGGGTCAAAAACTCCAGTTTTTGGTGCCCATCCAGTGAGCTTGAAACCAGAAATTATATCGTCCACCACTCCAACATCTTGATATTCCAATTCAATGAGGATTTCCTTGAGCAAGAGAAGGCGTTTGCCTTTCAGGATCTGACGCAAGTGGGGTGGCATCTGTTTGTGAAGTTCAGTTTCATCTGCTCGCAACTCCAAAGAGCGTTTCAACCACTTTTTCATGAAAGCAGCACGCTTTGCAAAACGTTTCTCAGGTTTGCCATGTACCATGTCCTTCAGCAAAGCTTTGACTGATGAAGGAACTTTTGCAACAATATCTCTTGGATGTCCTTTGGCTAGCGCTTCGTTGATGAAATCTTCTGGTTCACGTGGAATGCCAAAATGTAGTATTTCTCCAGGTTGTCCATCTGTCCAGCTGTCATGAGCCACTAAGTTGGACTCTTTTGCAGAATTTTCATCCCAGCAAATACCCCCATTGGTGAGAGTACGATGGCAAATTCTGGACCCTCTTGGTAGATCTTGTAAAAATTGTTGTATCACATGTTCATTGTTCAAAGGAAATAGGACTGAGCGATACGCTTGAAATTCTGATACCAATGGTCGTAGGCGTTTGCCACGTGGTTGAGTAGTGAATACCTGACGTTTTGCCACATTTGGTTCAGCGTTCAACTGCTCAGTCAAATCATTTGCAAAATGGAAATTATATTTCAAAGCTTCTTCCTTGAGAATATATGCAATGCGAGAGCACAATAACTCTGGATATGCGGCTTCGCTGGCTGTAGGAAACACTTGGCGCCCGGTTTCGTCAAAATAAGGCGCACAGCTTGCATGTTGATGTTTCTGGTCGCAAAGAAGGTGCAATGTTTCAAACATGTCGACCGCAAGGTTTCTGGGATTGCAACTCAGCCAGTGAGTAAATTTGTTACGTTTCCCACCATGCATGCAGTGTTGAAATTCACATATGTGATGTTCTGGCAGCCAATCCAAAAATTCTTGCACAAACGAACATTTCCAGAAAAGTGAGTTCTTGGGATTCTCAATGCTGATGCTGATATTCAATGAAACTACAAATTTTGCCAATTTCAACATTGCCAAATAGCTAGCATTTGCGGCTGCGACCCTTTCTTGATTTTGCTGGCTCAGTCCCGGTAATCCATCGGGGAAGGCATCGGATCGCAATGGAGGCGGCCCAGGCGCTTTTTCACGCGCCCTGGACGCTGTGCCACAACTGGGTGCAAAATGCACGTGCAATAGCTCTTCCTTTTCGGCCTCGACATACTGCATGAGCAGTGCAAAGTCTTCTGCATTTGTGACATCACACTGGTAAATTGGAAAATTTTCTGCCCTGGTTTCGTCTTTGTCCACCGCGGTCACTCGAAAACCTGCACTTCGACAAGCTTTAGATAGTCTGCAGCTTCCAGAGA